TGTGTGTGTCTGTGTGTGTGTTTGCCCATTTGGGTGTGTGTATTTTGTGTTTGTGCGTCCTGATTTGCGTGGTTGCTATAAGAAATAATATGTTTTTATCATGATTAGTTAGTTAGTTAGTCTTTCCTCTTGTGTCGAGTGCGGCACATAGGGCAGAGGTCGTGACTCTCCATGCACGGCGGTCCGTTGCAATCCGTTGTAGGTCTTGGATGTTTGAGTGGCCCATGAGCGAGCCTTCCCTGATGATAGTTCTACGTAGGGTTTCCCTTGGTCTTCCACGAGATCTTTTCCCCTGTGGTGTCCAAATGAGGGCTTGGTAAGGAAGCTTATCATGATTACTGCATTATATATTGTATTTTTGTCATAATTGTTTTTTTAGATGCAGTGCTTTGTTTGTTATTGCCACAAGATATAACGTGCTTTTACTGTAGTGATCTAGCATGGTCTAGCAACTAGATGCTCGCCTGCAGATCGGAAGGTCGTGGCTTTGGGTCATGACGTGGTCCTGACATTTTTCAAAAATGAACTTTGCTCCAAGGTCGAACAAGCCTTGAGTAGGTACCAGGTGAAGTCATAGGAAGTAAAGGCGGCCCGCGTGATGCTGAACACATCACCCACCGAAGTGCTGTTTGTTCCATAATATACTAGCTGTACCCGGCCACGCGTTGCTGTGGCATAGTTTGGCTAAATGGAAAAGAAAGAAAATAGAAATCGCACGTGTCTAATATGGTTATTGTCGCAATCATTGTCTGCTCAGATATAGAGATAGTCTTTGATCCCTCCACCTCCCCCCAACACCACTAAATCCACCTACTACTCTCTCCCTCATTAAAAAGTTTTTGGAAAAGTAAGACAATTGTATTTTTATAGGAGACGGAAGTAAAGCTACTACTGTAATTGTAAATAACAGAGTAAGACGTAAAAAAATTAGAATAGCAGAGGAAGTGTTAGTAAAATATAAACAAATTAACTAATGAGAACTTTAAAATCATATGTTAGGCTCAGTAAGTTAACAATTTCAGTCATAACCCCCCCCCCCCTCCCCCCTACCCCAAATCCACTGACTACAGCTCTCTCCCTCTTCGAAGGATTTGAAATTCATCACCTGGCGGTATTTTGTTTTTGTTTTTTGTAACTGACACTGACATTCCTGTCCATCAGGACTAAAATGGGGAGCAGTAATTGTAATAGGTAGTAAATGGGAGCTAGTGTAATATTTACAACATCACTCTTCAAGTACCAGTACAACTACTACCACGACCACCACCACAATAGCTAAAATAATGTCACTGCTATCTGTTTTACCATCGGAGTAGACAGGGAGTCGTGAGTCAGAAGATTTGGCGCCGCATAGCTAGTGCTGTCACCACGGACTGGTCAGGTTAGGATGTATAATTTCGCTCCCTGACAGAAGAACGCCAGAACCTTACCGGCGGTCTTCGCATGAGAGCACTACCGTGGAACCGCCCAACCACAACTACTACTGCTGCTGCTACTTTGAGTGGGTAAGGCAGTTACTGTGACTTGAAGCTCTCTCGGTAAAGAGTGTGCGCCCCCCCCCCCCCCTCCCAATTCACAGACTACTCCTTTCCTCATCGAAGTAGTTAGGAGAAGAAAACAAAAAACAAATTGAAAAGCAATGAAAACAGGAAAAAATACACCATAATTAGGTAATTAACGCTATGGTAAACAGCGCAGCCTAAAATTCTAACGCAGATGAAATAATTAAATATAAATGAAAATAAATGGAAAGCTAAGAAATTTCAGCGTAATCATGCAATCGGAAAGCTTAAAATGAAATCATAAGTATTTGAAATGGTCAAATTTAATTATCAACTGGTTTACCCACATACCTGGGGGAGCAAAAAAGATGAACAAATCCACGACTAAATCTACCCGAGAAGCGCAAGACATATACAGAAAACAATTACACAGGGCTGCCACCTCATAGAGATGACAAAACCACGACAATGGGCTACAGACTGGTATCAGTGAGATGACAAAACCACGACAATGGGCTACAAACTGGTATCAGTGAGATGACAAAACCACGACAATGGGCTACAAACTGGTAACAGAGACTAAAAAACAACGACACTGGGTTACAACTTGGTATCAGTGAGACACAAGAAGAAGAACTTTGCAACATAATTTATACTTGCTCTATGCAACCAAAACCGTACGTGACCCTTATACATAACAAACAACAATGAACAGTTTCACGAGGGAATGAATAAAAAGTTGACTCAAGTTTTCACTTACTTGAATCGGCTGTAGGTACTGTGGAAGAGAAACAATCAATACACATGAAGATTGCAGTCACCGTTAACGAATGTGTGAGAGAACAATCAATACACATGGAGATTGCAGTCAATATTAATGACTGTGTGAGCAGCAAGTATGTCTACCTCCTCACATCATGCAACAAAGATAAGTCACACAAGGAAACGTAACCCAGCTGTTGCTCTCCCTTGCTGGGGTTCCCGAGCAGTTTAGCCGGCTGTGGAGCCCACATTCAAACAATAAAACACCGGGGGGGGGGAGGGGGGGGGGGTTATCAACCTAATGAACACTACCGATGAACCATCATGATCACTGGCCTGCTGTGCCCATACATGTCACAAAGGGCTAGCATGCTACTCCTCCATTCCGTTGTGTACTTTTAGCCTGTCTTCTCAACATTCGTTTTAGTGTTTGTTTTGGGCGTCTTTGCCTTCTCTTTCCATTTCTTTCACATTTCAGTGGCTGCTTGCTGTTTCTTTACTCGTTTATACTCAGGATACATTTTTTTTTCCGCTCAGGATCGAACGGCAACATTGTATCATCCCTAATTGTCAGGATAAAGTTAGTTGCGTATTCTTTACAGGACTTTGCAAAACGAACCTCAGCATTGTTTTGCTGTTGTGTTTTTTTAGGCAAATTTACGTCTAGTAGTTTGCCATTGCTTTCTAGACAGTCGGCTCTAGGTACAACTGTCGAAACCAACGCAAAACAAACCGTCCGCAGCTGGGATCGAATAGGCATCCCAGCATTACGAAGCGCGTTCACAACGCCTAAGCCACAGTCTGCGACTGTCATGATAGCACATTGCAAATTTCAAGTACTAGTTAATTGTTTACGTTATTTTATCTCATGTTACCATCTCCATTCTTTAGTGCTCCCTCTTCGTTGCCTATACTTTCAACATAGGCTCTTGCTCTGATCAACTCTTTATTTGTTTTCCTTCTTGTCGTCATTTTTTAAGCTCTGATATCTTCTTTTGTTGTTTTTAAATTGCATATATCAAGCAAGCTTTAATGACTTTCTTTTCCGAGTACATATCCATATATCATCACTTATCTAAGGATTCCAGCAAATTTCTTAAGTCTTTCGCTGATCGTTTCTGCTCCTCAAAGTGTGGCCTTTTCATCTTTCCACTTGTCCTGGGCTTTCTGAACTCACTTCACTTAAAGTGCTTCAAATCGATTTTGTTGTTGTTGTTGTGATTGTTGCTCTTACTTCTACTCTATGAAGCCTTTGACTATGTATTTTTTGTTGTACGAACTTTTTCTTGTCAAGCAGCTTTCAAAGCAACCTTCAGTTTGCCTACACGTAAGATGTGGTGACTGCTCATATCTGCTCCAATGTTTGCCTACACGTAAGATGTGGTGACTGCTCATATCTGCTCCAATGTTTGCCTACACGTAAGATGTGGTGACTGCTCATATCTGCTCCAATGTTTGCCTACACGTAAGGTGTGGTGACTGCTCATATCTGCTCCAATGTTTGCCTACACGTAAGATGTGGTGACGGCTCATATCTGCTCCAATATTTGCCTACACGTAAGATGTGGTGACTGCTCATATCTGCTCCAATGTTTGCCTACACGTAAGATGTGGTGACTGCTCATATCTGCTCCCATGTTTGCCTACACGTAAGATGTGGTGACTGCTCATATCTGCTCCAATGTTTGCTTGGACATCCATCCATCCAAGAGCTTCTATATTTGTTATTCATACAGAGTTCTTCTACATGCTCCCTAGTCACTCCATCTGGTGTGTTTCATGTTAGTTTATGAATTTCGTTATGAGCAAATATATTTCCTCCAAATACTAGATCTGGATGCATTCTGAATTCAGTTAGTCTCTCTCCATTTTCATTCATTGTGATAACCCCTGTCCTGTCCCATTGTTCTGTGAACACCCACTGTGATAACCCCTGTCCTGTCCCATTGCTCTGTGAACACCCACTGTGATAACCCCTGTCCTGTCCCATTGCTCTGTGAACACCCACTGTGATAACCCCTGTCCCGTCCCAATGCTATGTGAACACTCATTGTGATAACCCCTGTCCTGTCCCATTGCTCTGTGAACACTCACTGTGATAACCTCTTTCCTGTTCCATTGCTCTGTGAGCACCCACTATGATAACCCTTTTCCTGTCCCATTGCTCTGTGAACACCCACTGTGATAACCCTTTTCCTGCCCCATTGCTCTGTGAACACCCACTGTGATAACCCTTTTCCTGCCCCATTGCTCTGTGAACACTCACTGTGATAACCCTTTTCCTGCCCCATTGCTCTGTGAACACTCACTGTGATAACCCTGTTCCTGCCCCATTGCTCTGTGAACACCCACTATGATAACCCTTTCCTGCCCCATTGCTCTGTGAACACCCACTGTGATAACCCTTTCCTGCCCCATTGCTCTGTGAACACCCACTGTGGTAACCCTTTTCCTGCCCCATTGCTCTGTGAACACCTACTGCGGTAACCCTTTTCCTGTCCCATTGCTCTGTGAACACACACTGTGGTAACCCTTTTCCTGCCCCATTGCTCTGTGAGCACCCACTGTGGTAACCCTTTTCCTGTCCCATTGCTCTGTGAACACCCACTGTGGTAAGCCTTTTCCTGCCCCATTGCTCTGTGAGCACCCACTGTGGTAACCCTTTTCCTGTCCCATTGCTCTGTGAACACCCACTGTGGTAACCCTTTTCCTGCCCCATTGCTCTGTGAACACCCACTGTGATAACCCTTTTCCTGTCCCATTGCTCTGTGAGCTCCCACTATGATAACCATTTTCCTGTCCCATTGCTCTGTGAACACCCACTGTGATAACCATTTTCCTGCCCCATTGCTCTGTGAACACCCACTGTGATAACCCCTGTCCTGTCCCATTGCTCTGTGAGCACCCACTGTGATAACCCTTTTCCTGCCCCATTGCTCTGTGAACACTCACTGTGATAACCCCTGTCCTGTCCTATTGCTCTGTGAACACCCACTGTGATATCCTCTTTCCTGTTCCATTGCTCTGTGAACACTCACTGTGATAACTCCTGTCATGTCCCATTGCTCTGAGAACACCCACTGTGATAACCCTTTCCTGCCCTATTGCTCTGTGAGCACCCATTGTGATAACCTCTTTCCTGTCCCATTGCTCTGTGAACACCCATTGTGATAATCTCTTTCCTGTCCCATTGCTCTGTGAGCACCCGCTGTGATAACCCTTTTCCTGCCCCATTGCTCTGTGAACACCCACTGTGATAACCCTTTTCCTGTCCCATTGCTCTGTGAACACCCAGTGTGATAACCTCTTTCCTGTCCCATTGCTCTGTGAGCACCCACTGTGATAACCCCTGTCCTGTCCCATTGCTCTGTGAACACCCAGTGTGATAACCTATTTCCTTTCCCATTGCTCTGTGAACACCCACTGTGAGAAAATAAGCTCACTCTGGAAAAACTATTCTCACCTAATTACATAAGTTGCATTTGAGAGCAGTTATTATGTGCTACCTTCTCCCATGTACTAGATCTGTGCCATTTTTTTCTGCTACCTTAAAACATGTACCAGTTCTGCAATCTTGTGTGCTACCTTATCAGGGGTTCCAGATCTGTGCAATCTTTTTTGCTACCTCATTACGTGTACCAGATCTGTGCAATCTTGTGTGCTACCTTATCCCGTGTACCAGATCTGTGCAATCTTATGTGCTACCTTATCCCGTCTACCAGATCTGTGCAATCTTGTGTGCTACCTTATCCCGTGTACAAGATCAGTGCAATCTTGGTGCTAACTCATCACGTGACTTGATCTATTTAATCTTGTCTGCTACCTTATCACTGTACCAGATCTGTGCAATATTGTGTGTGCTACCTTATCACGTGTACCAAATCTAGACATTCAGTGTTATATCATCTCCCCTTTACCACCAGATCTAGGCATTCATTGTTCAATTTTCTTACCTGTACCACCAGATCTGGGCATTCATTGTTTTATTATCTCCCCTGAACCACTAGATGTGTGCAGTCATTGTTCTATTATCTCACCTGTACCCACCAGATTTGTGCAGTCATTGTTCTATTTTCTCACCTGAACTACCAGATCTGGGCATTCATTGTAGCATTTTCTCACTTGTGCACCTTCTTGTGCTTTTATCAATATTCGCTTTGTTCTGCTAGATGTGTCAGTTTACCAGGCATAGGTAGCCGAGCCTAGAAGACATGTATTCTAGAAACACGCAGAGAAAAAATGGCTACTTACTGTTGCCGTCGCCTGCCGGAACTGTCATGTGTGGACAGTAACAAGGACGAATTAATCAAAGGCACAAATTTTATACACGAAAATGTTATATTATTACACTCACTTTCCTATCTAGGTGTGAATTATAACATATGCCCACCTTAATGCTAATCAACTCGTGTCCTTCTTTTCTGACACCATACCTTCTACTATTACTCTTTCCAATCTACGATGGCTCTTGATGGGATAGAACATTTCAGTTTCCGAGTAGCGATGTTTGTGACGGCAATTTTACATGATGTTCAGATCTTTAGCAATATCAGTAGTTTTGTTCTTTTCTATAGCATTTCAGCTGGAACGGCCACGTTTTCGCCCTGAAGGACTTAAAGATAGTCCACGACTCACATCCGAATGTTGCTACAGGGAAGATGCATGGGGAGATAGTCCACAACTCACATCCGAATGTTGCTACAGGGAAGATGCATGGGGAGATTGTCCACGACTCACATCCGAATGTTGCAACAGGGAAGATGCATGGGGAGATAGTCCACGACTCACATCCCAATGTTGCTAAAGGGAAGATGCATGGGGAGATAGTCCACTTATCACATCCGAATGTTGCTACAGGGAAGATGCATGGGGAGATAGTCCACGACTCACATCCGAATGTTGCTAAAGGGAAGATGCATGGGGAGATAGTCCACGAATCACATCCGAATGTTGCTACGGGGAAGATGCATTAGGGGATATAGTCCCCGATTCACATCCGAATGTTGCTAGATGGAAGATGCCTGGGGAGATAGTCCACGACTCACATCCGAATGTTGCTACAGGGAAGATGCATGGGGAGATAGTCCACAACTCACATCCAAATGTTGCTACAGGGAAGATGCATGGGGAGATAATCCACGAATCACATCCGAATGTTGCTACAGGGAAGATTTATGGGGAGATAGTCCACGACTCACATCCGAATGTTGCTACATGGAAGCTGCATGGGGAGATGGTCCACGACTCACATCCGAATGTTGCTACATGGAAGATGCATGAGGAGATAGTCCACGACTTACATCCGAATGTTGCTACAGAGAAGATGCATGGGGAGATAGTCCACGACTCACATCGGATGTTGCTACAGGGAAGATGAATGGGGAGATAGTCCACGACTCACATCGGATGTTGCTAGAGAGAAGATGCATGGGGAGATAGTCCACGACTCACATCCAAATGTTGCTAAAGGGAAGATGCATGGGAAGATACCCACGACTCACATCCAAATTTTGCTAGAAGGAAGATGCATGCGGAGATAGTCCACGACTCACATCCAAATATTGCTAGAGGGAAGATGCATGGGGAGATAGTGTACGAATCACATCCAAATGTTGCTAGAGGGAAGATGCATGGGGAGATAGTCCACGGCTCATATCCGAATGTTGCTACAGGGAAGATTTATGGGGAGACAGTCCACGACTCATATCCGAATGTTGCTACAGGGAAGGTGCATGGGGAGATAGTCCACGACTCACCTCCGAATGTTGCTACAGGGAAGATGCATGGGGAGATAGTCTACGACTCACATCCGAATGTTGCTACAGGGAAGATGCATGGGGAGATAGTCCACGACTCACATTCTAATGTTGCTACAGGGAAGATGAATGGGGAGATAGTCCACGACACACATCCGAATGTTGCTAGAGGAAAGATGCATGTGGAGATAGTCTACGACTCACATCCAAATGTTGCTAGAGGGAAGATGCATGGGGAGATAGTCCACGACTCATATCCGAATGTTGCTACAGGGAAGATTTATGGGGAGACAGTCCACGACTCATATCCGAATGTTGCTAGAGGGAAGATGCAGGGGGAGATAGTCCATGACTCACATCCGAATGTTGCTACAGGGAAGGTGCATGGGGAGATAGTCCACGACTCACATACTAATGTTGCTACAGGGAAGATGCATGGGGAGATAGTCCACAACTCACATCCGAATGTTGCTACAGGGAAGATGCCTGAGGAGATAGTCCACCACTTACATCCGAATGTTGCTACAGAGAAGATGCATGGGGAGATAGTCCACGACTCACATCGGATGTTGCTACAGGGAAGATGAATGGGGAGATAGTCCACGACTCACATCGGATGTTGCTAGAGAGAAGATGCATGGGGAGATAGTCCACGACTCACATCCAAATGTTGCTAAAGGGAAGATGCATGAGAAGATACCCACGACTCACATCCAAATTTTGCTAGAAGGAAGATGCATGGGGAGATAGTCCACGACTCACATCCAAATGTTGCTAGAGGGAAGATGCATGGGGAGATAGTGTACGAATCACATCCAAATGTTGCTAGAGGGAAGATGCATGGGGAGATAGTCCACGGCTCATATCCGAATGTTGCTACAGGGAAGATTTATGGGGAGACAGTCCACGACTCATATCCGAATGTTGCTACAGGGAAGGTGCATGGGGAGATAGTCCACGACTCACCTCCGAATGTTGCTACAGGGAAGATGCATGGGGAGATAGTCTACGACTCACATCCGAATGTTGCTACAGGGAAGATGCATGGCGAGATAGTCCACGACTCACATTCTAATGTTGCTACAGGGAAGATGAATGGGGAGATAGTCCACGACACACATCCGAATGTTGCTAGAGGAAAGATGCATGTGGAGATAGTCTACGACTCACATCCAAATGTTGCTAGAGGGAAGATGCATGGGGAGATAGTCCACGACTCATATCCGAATGTTGCTACAGGGAAGATTTATGGGGAGACAGTCTACGACTCATATCCGAATGTTGCTAGAGGGAAGATGCAGGGGGAGATAGTCCATGACTCACATCCGAATGTTGCTACAGGGAAGGTGCATGGGGAGATAGTCCACGACTCACATACTAATGTTGCTACAGGGAAGATGCATGGGGAGATAGTCCACAACTCACATCCGAATGTTGCTACAGGGAAGATGCATGGGGATATTGTCCACGACTCACATCCGAATGTTGCTACAGGGAAGGTGCATGGAAAGATAGTCCACGACTCACATCCGAATGTTGCTACAGGGAAGATGCATGGGGAGATAGTCCACAACTCACATCCGAATGTTGCTACAGGGAAGATGCATGGGGAGATAGTCCACGACTCACATCCGAATGTTGCTAACAGGGAAGATGAATGGGGAGATAGTTAACGACTCACATCTGAATGTTCCTACATGGAAGATGCATGAGGAGATAGTCCACGACTCAAATCCGAATGTTGCTACAGGAAAGATGCATGGGGAGATAGTCCACGACTCACATTGAATGTTGCTACAGGGAAGATGAATGGGGAGATAGTCCACGAATCACATCCGAATGTTGCTACAGGGAAGATGAATGGCGAGATACCCACGACTCACATCCAAGTTTTGCTAGAAGGAAGATGCATGGGGAGATAGTCCACGACTCACATCCAAATGTTGTTTGAGGGAAGATGCATGGGGAGATAGTCCACAACTCACATCCGAATGTTGCTACAGGGAATATTTATGGGGATATTGTCCACGACTCACATCCGAATGTTGCTACAGGGAAGGTGCATGGGGAGATAGTCCACGACTCACATCCGAATGTTGCTACAGGGAAGATGCATGGGGAGATAGTCCACAACTCACATCCGAATGTTGCTACAGGGAAGATACATGGGGAGATAGTCCACGACTCACATCCGAATGTTGCTAACAGGGAAGATGAATGGGGAGATAGTTAACGACTCACATCCGAATGTTCCTACATGGAAGATGCATGAGGAGATAGTCCACGACTCAAATCCGAATGTTGCTACAGGAAAGATGCATGGGGAGATAGTCCACGACTCACATCGAATGTTGCTACAGGGAAGATGAATGGGGAGATAGTCCACGAATCACATCCGAATGTTGCTACAGGGAAGATTTATGGGGAGATAGTCCACAACTCACATCCGAATGTTGCTACAGGGAAGATGAATGGGAAGATAGTCCACAACTCACATCCGAATGTTGCTACAGGGAAGATGCATGGGGAGATAGTCTACGACTCACATCCGAATGTTGCTACAGGGAAGATAAATGGGGAGATAGTCCACGACATACATCCGAATGTTGCTACATGGAAGATGCATGAGGAGATAGTCCACGACTCACATTCTAATGTTGCTACAGGGAAGATGCATGGGGAGATAGTCTACGACTCACATCCAAATGTTGCTAGAGGGAAGATGCATGGGGAGATAGTCTACGACTCATATCCAAATGTTGCTAGAGGGAAGATGCATGGGGAGATAGTCCACGACTCATATCCGAATGTTGCTACAGGGAAGATTTATGGGGAGACAGTCCACGACTCATATCCGAATGTTGCTAGAGGGAAGATGCAGGGGGAGATAGTCCATGACTCACATCTGAATGTTGCTACAGGGAAGGTGCATGGGGAGATAGTCCACGACTCACATACGAATGTTGCTACAGGGAAGATGCATGGGGAGATAGTCCACAACTCACATCCGAATGTTGCTACAGGGAAGATGCATGTGGATATTGTCCACGACTCACATCCGAATGTTGCTTCAGGGAAGGTGCATGGGGAGATAGTCCACAACTCACATCCGAATGTTGCTACAGGGAAGATGCATGGGGATATTGTCCACGACTCACATCCGAATGTTGCTACAGGGAAGATGCATGGGGAGATAGTCCACGACTCACATCCGAATGTTGCTAACAGGGAAGATGAATGGGGAGATAGTTAACGACTCACATCTGAATGTTGCTACATGGAAGATGCATGAGGAGATAGTCCACGACTCACATCCGAATGTTGCTAACAGGGAAGATGAATGGGGAGATAGTCCACGACTCACATCGAATGTTGCTACATGGAAGATGCATGAGGAGATAGTCCACGACTCAAATCCGAATGTTGCTACAGGAAAGATGCATGGGGAGATAGTCCACAACTAACATCCTAATGTTGCTACAGGGAAGATGCATGGGGAGATAGTCCACGACTCACATCCGAATGTTGCTACAGGGAAGATAAATGGGGAGATATTCCACGACATACATCCGAATGTTGCTACATGGAAGATGCATGAGGAGATAGTCCACGACTCAAATCCGAATGTTGCTACAGGGAAGATGCAAGGGAGAGATAGTCTACGACTCACATCCGAATGTTGCTACAGGGAAGATACATGGGGAGATAGTAAACGACTCACATTCTAATGTTGCTACAGGGAAGATGCATGGGGAGATAGTCCACGACTCACATCCGAATGTTGCTAGAGTGAAGATGCATGGGGAGATAGTCCACGACTCACATCCGAATGTTTCTAGAGGGAAGATGCATGTGGAGATAGTCCTCGACTCACATCCAAATGTTGCTAGAGGGAAGATGCATGGGGAGATAGTTTACAACTCACATCCAAATGTTGCTAGAGGGAAGATGCATGGGGAGATAGTCCACGACTCATATCCGAATGTTGCTACAGGGAAGATTTATGGGGAGACAGTCCACGACTCATATCCGAATGTTGCTAGAGGGAAGATGCATGGGGAGATAGTCCATGACTCACATCCGAATGTTGCTACAGGGAAGGTGCATGGGGAGATAGTCCACGACTCACCTCCGAATAATGCTACAGGGAAGATGCATGGGGAGATAGTCTACGACTCACATCCAAATGTTGCTAGAGGGAAGATGCATGGGGTGATAGTCCACGACTCACATCCGAATGTTGCTTCAGGGAAGGTGCATGGGGAGATACTCTACGACTCACATCCAAATGTTGCTAGAGGAAAGATGCATGGGGAGATAGTCCACGACTCACATCCGAATGTTGCTACAGGGAAAATGCAGGCGCTTTTGACATTTGGATGTCCCTACTGGTGCTAAACAATGACTTTTCAGGCTGTTTTATATTGTTATGATACAACACTAAACAATATTATACAACATTATATTACAATAAGATAAAGATATACATCAACTGAACATTGCAGGTCTGAGAACACTACAACCAGTCAAGATAGATTTATGTAGACAGACAAGAGTTGAGGCGGTAAGGCTGACAGACATACAAATAGAAAGGTAGACTCGTAGGCTTGTAGGTAGATGGATAAATGAATGGATGAATGAATAGACGGACGGACAGACAGACAGACGGAGGGACGGACGGACGCAAAGACAGACAGTCGAACAGACAGATAGACAGACAGACAGACAGACAGACAGACAGACAGACAGACAGACATATATTTAGATAGATAGATAGATAGATAGATAGATAGATAGATAGATAGATAGATAGATAGATAGATAGATAGATAGATAGATAGATAGATAGATAGATAGATAGATAGATAGATAGATAGATAGATAGATAGATAGATAGATAGATAGATAGATAGATAGATAGAGATAGATAGATAGATAGATAGATAGATAGATAGATAGATAGATAGATAGATAGATAGATAGATAGATAGATAGATAGATAGATAGATAGATAGATAGATAGATAGATAGATAGATAGATAGATAGATAGATAGAGATAGATAGATAGATAGATAGATAGATAGATAGATAGATAGATAGATAGATAGATAGATAGATAGATAGATAGATAGATAGATAGATAGATAGATAGATAGATAGATAGATAGATAGATAGATAGATATAGATAGATAGATAGAGAGAGAGAGAGAGAGAGAGAGAGATAGATAGATAGATAGATAGATAGATAGATAGATAGATAGATAGATAGATAGATAGATAGATAGATAGATAGATAGATAGATAGATAGATAGATAGATAGATAGATAGATAGATAGATAGATAGATAGATAGATAGATAGATAGATAGATAGATAGATAGATAGATAGATAGATAGATAGATAGATAGATAGATAGATAGATAGATAGATAGATAGATAGATAGATAGATAGATAGATAGATAGATAGATAGATAGATAGATAGATAGATAGATAGATAGATAGATAGATCTTACTTTCACACAACCGTCTAGCCACTCGCTGCTCGATCTTCACCAAGTTAGCGAAGCTGTCCGCCGTGAAGACATTCTCAGAACTGCTGGCGATGTTGTACAGCTCCCACCCCTGCCCACTGCCGATGCCCACGGAGATCACGTGGTACAGACTGTGCAGAGAATCGGCCGCAGTTTTTGCTGGGATAAAAAAACGAATCATGGTTAGACTTGTCTGCCGATAGATGTTCATTTACTGATTTCTGTAGAAGTACATTAGCTGATGTTTGTAGAGGTTCACTAACTGATGTCTGTAGAGGTTCCCTAACTGATGTCTGTAGAGGTTCACTAACTGATGTATGTAGAGGTTCACTTACTAATGTTTGTAGAGGTTCACTTACTGATGTGTGTAGAGGTTCACTTACTGATGTCTGTGGAGTTTAACTACCTGATGTCTGCAGAGTTTCATTACCTAATGACTGTAGAGTTTCATTACCTAATGTCTGTAGAGGTTCATTAACTGATATATGTAGAGGTTCACTATCTGATTTCTGTAGAGGTTCATTAACTGATGTCTGTAGAGGTTCATTAACTGATGTTTATAGAGGTTTATTAACTGATGTCTGTAGAGGTTCACTAACTGATGTCTGTAGAGGATCACTAACTGATGTCTGTAGAGGTTTAATAACTGATGTCTGTAGAGGTTCACTAACTGATGTCTGTAGAGGTTCACTAACTGATGTCTGTAGAGAGGTACTATGTGATGTCTGTAGAGGTTCACTAACTGATGTCTGTAGAGGTTCACTAACTGATGTCTGTAGAGGTTCACTAACTGATGTCTGTAGAGGTTCACTAACTGATGTCTGTAGAGATGTACTATGTGATGTCTGTAGAGGTTCACTAACTTATGTCTGTAGAGGTTCACTAACTGATGTCTGTAGAGGATCACTAACTGATGTCTGTAGAGGTTCATTAACTGATGTCTGTAGAGGTTCACTAACTGATGTCTGTGGAGGTTCACTAACTGATGTCTGTAGAGGTTCACTAACTAGTGTATGTAGAGGTTCACTAACTGATGTCTGTAGAGGTTCACTAACTGATGTCTGTAGCTAACCGATGTCTGTACATGTTCACTAACTGATGTCTGTAAAGGTTCACTAACCGATGACTGTAGAGGTTCACTAACTGATGTCTGTAGAGGTTTACTAACCTATGTCTTTAGGGCTTCACACATTATTAAAGGCACTTGCACAGTAGGGCTAAACATTATATAGAGTGTCAACAAAAAACATTCAGTAATCTTTGAGGCGTGACACTGGGCTCTTTACCAACTTTTACCCCTTAGATCTGGTGACCTGACACTTAAAAAAAACAACAACAACAACTGATATCAACTAGCCATTGTGACCAACCGACATGAGACAGCTGTCAGATCCTGTTGTGCCAGCTGTTGTCTGGCGGACCTAAACAGAGTGCTTATGTTACCATCTACCACACATGTCTCGAGTGAACGTTGTGGTTTGTTCCATATCGGAGGTATAGTCTCAAGCATCATTCTCTCTCCTAGAACGTGGACCAACAAGAGGCGGCGTGGGTAAAGCGATGTCTACCGATCGAGCGACGGTGTTGAACGCAAAGACGATTACGTGACGAAGACAAGATATCCAAGCTCTTACTTTTGAAGAGACTGTCCGACGATGCGTCAGTAATGACGACCACAAGCTTGCTGGACCGTTCCCTGGCTCCGTTGGATGTACTGAAGAGGTTCTGCTGACGGATGAAGTCCAGCGCTAGGTACGTTTTGGTTCCGCCGCCAAGGAACGGAGCCAACGCCAAACCCTGGGGAAGTAAACAGGTATTTCAATGGTACACTTAGACAGCAACAACATGAGTGCCTAGAGACAATCGTATGCTTGCAGATGAAGCTGTGACCTTACATTTGAACAGTTCTGTGGCTTTGTCTCTTTTTGTTTCTCCTGGGTATTCCTTTTACAGGTCATCTCAAAAATTATAATTTTACGTTAATTTGTTTCCAGGATTTTCCATGCATTGATAGTACAAAGTTGGTACCAATAGCGCCTTTATTAGTTGTTGTTGTTGTTGTGTGTGTGTGTGTATATGTGTGTGTGTGTGTGCGCGCGCGCGTCTCGATATTTTGCGGTCTCTAAGTAAACACTGTTTGGTAATTTATGTTGTTGGCCTTTTGTATTCTGTTTGCTCTTTCTCAGTCCAATGGTCCATCCACAGTAGATTCAGTGACTAGGTACAGCCATTCATGCATTTATAGCGAACAAGACTAGGTAAGTAAACGCCTCATCTTGTACGAATGTCTTTCCTGCAACACTGACAATATGTTGGACTCCCCCCCCCCCCTCCAACCTAACCCCTCCCCTGAGTCTTAATTTTGAGTTCAGTTTCTTGCAGCAGATGCTGGGTCTAACTGCATGGTGTTATAAGTTATCCTTATCCTTGTATAACAGTACAGCAAATAATACCCAGTTGAAATCCTGCTGCTATAGGTTTTCTTCTTTAGTCCTCATATTCATACAGGGGATAAACAAGAAGGGTGACTGTATACCCGCTTGTCTTACCCCAGATAAACAAGAATGGTGACTGTATACCCGCTTGTCTTACCCCAGATAAACAAGAATGGTGACTGTATACCCGCTTGTCTTACCCCAGATAAACAAGAATGGTGACTGTATACCCGCTTGTCTTACCCCAGATAAACAAACATGGTGACAGTATTTACGCTTCTCTTACCCCAGATAAACAAACATGGTGACAGTTTATACGCTTCTGAGATAAAACCTGGAACCAGTTTGTTGTGCCTACAGTTGTTCTTACAGCATATTCGGCTGTGTGATTCATAGTCCTGGTGTTATCCAGCAATTGTCCACCTACACCAAACTCTTCGAGCACTGACCATAGTCTCTCTCGGTTTACTCACTCGTAAGATTGTTCTTCATCAATAACAGCCCCATTAAGTTCGTTGTTATTTTTTTGTAGTTTTCTCACAGATCTGTATCAATATGACCGGCACGCTAGCGTAGTTCGTTAAACCTGACTTCGCGACGACCTGTTGACGAACTACTTGTGGTCGGGCTTTACGCCCTGGGTAGGCAAAAAAGCCACATTTATTAAAGATTGACGGTATCTGTCATGGAGACTTGGGTTGCGATATCCACAGTACCGGGCCAAAGGGTTAACAACTCATGGTTTCTGGATATTAAAAAAGAAAAATAAAGTCAATCTCAATGTAAAAAATAGCATCAGTGCAAAAACTTCCTTTTCTGAAGCCAAACTGCTGCCCTTGTATTTCCATTGTGGCACGATCAGAGATTGTTACAAGTTTTCTGCTATCTTCCTCTCATGCCATGACTGGTTCATGATTTTACTCCCACGTTCTGCATACATTGATGGCTTCGATCGGAATGTTTTCAATTCCTGTAACTTTATTGTCGGCCTTTTGTTCATCGCTTTCTACAATCCGACAGTCAAAGATATTATTATCATGTTTTATAAAAATAAAATTCACAATTCCCTCTTTCTTTTTTTCCTTAACCACGAATGCTCTTTCTTTTGCCCTTAACCACGAATGCTCTTTCTTTTGCCCTTAACCACGAATGCTCTTTATTTTGCCCTGAACCACGAATGCTCTTTCTTTTGCCCGGAACCACGAATGCTCTTTCTTTTGCCCTTAACCACGAATGCTCTTTATTTTGCCCTGAACCACGAATGCTTTCTTTTGCCCGGAACCACGCATTCTCTTTCTTTTGTCCGGAACCACGAACGCTCTTTCTTTTGCCCTTAACCACGAATGCTCGTTCTTTTGCCCGGAACCACGAATGCTCTTTCTCTTGCCCTTAACCACGAATGCTCTTTTTTTTTGCCCTTAACCACGAATGCTCTTTCTTTTGCCCTTAACCACGAATGCTCTTTCTTTTGCCCCTAACCACGAATGCTCTTTCTTTTGCCCTGAACCACGAATGCTCTTTCTTTTGCCCTTAACCACGAATGCTCTTTCTTTTGCCCTGAACCATGAATGCTCTTTCCTTTGCCCTTAACCACATATGCTCTTTCTTTTGCCCTGAACCACGAATGCTCTTTATTTTGCCCTGAACCACGAACGCTCTTTCTTTCGCCCGGAGCCACGAATGCTCTTTCTTTTGCCCTTAACCACGAATGCTCTTTATTTTGTCCCGAACCACGAATGCTCTTTCTTTTGCCCGGAACCACGAATGCTCTTTCTTTTGCCCTTAACCACGAATGCTCTTTATTTTGCCCTGAACCACGAATGCTCTTTCTTTTGCCCGGAACCACGAATGCTCTTTCTTTTGCCCGGAACCACGAACGCTCTTTCTTTTGCCCTTAACCATGAATGCTCGTTCTTTTGCCCGGAACCATGAATGCTCTTTCTTTTGCCCTTAACCACGAATGCTCTTTCTTTTGCCCTTAACCACGAATGCTCTTTCTTTTGCTCTTAACCATGAATGCTCTTTCTTTTGCCCTGTGACAATACGCCCGGTGACTTCAGATGGTCTTTCCTTAACCTACTTTTATTGCTTTGTATTTTGAAAGTATACAGGAAAATAGGGATTTGGATACATCCCTAATCTAAATAGGCGACCTGAAGAAACATTTAATTCTCCTGGACCGTTGGTCATATCAAACACTTAACTTTTTCCCAGATGTTAAGTGTTGAGGTACAGAGATAAAACTGACCAAGCAGACTTACTGACTGGAGATTTGCACACCATTTGTTGGTGTCAGATATTTATCTCCTAGCCAGACCATTAGGAGTAGATAACTCCGGCTAATTGTGTTTAATTCCCCCTGAGGTTACCCAAACTGGAGTGCCGGTCAGATCGTCAATATTGACACAGTGAGCTGAAAGTGTTGGCAGAAGAATTGACAAAGTCGGATTTTATTGTGATGACAGGTGAAGTAGACTGGAGGTGTGACTTGGCCTATTAGCTTTGACCAGCTTAATTGAACCTGTAGAAGGTGACCGTGGGAATTTAAACAAGTGTTGTACAGCCCTGACTGACAGCGAATAAACTTACCCACAGGGAGGAGCTGTGATATCCTTGAATGAGAATGATTTTAGGCGTAATGAAGGAGGAGCTTAATAAAAGTTATAAAGTGGTGAACTCTAGGTCTGGTAAATGAGACGCTGTCAAGCACATGCCATCTGTTGGGCTTAACCTAAGCTTGAGACAGAACTTTTGGCATCGTGGTTTCATTTTCCAGGTAAGATCGAAATTAGGTTCAAATCTATATTTTGTGATAGAAATCTAACTGTCTTTTTACTCAAGTGTGTGTCTTCATCACTTTGTAGTACTCCTAGGCGAACATTTCTTCATTCTCGTAGGGCACTGTCACATTGCTTTATTTCCTATTTGATAGTGTCATGAATGTTTTTCGTGCACATGTGTTTCAATGTTGTAAAACCTAAATGTTGTTGTTGCCATTGAAATTTAATGAACTATCATGTTTTTGAAATCACAAGCGTGAAGATAACTTTGGCAATCTTTTCACGTGTGGTTAATGTGAATCTGTATTACATACAGCTAACACACTGAAATGTGTTTAACTCTCGGGAGGCTAATGCGGAGATTGATCCCGGAGAGTAAATCCACGAGATTTGTTATTTGATTCGCCCCAGAACTATTGTTAGCATTCTGGGCGCGTCCAGTGTTCCAAGCATAGATTCCAGAACTGGTTCTGTCTGACTGAGTGTCATTTGAGTCTGTACGAGAGATGGCACATGACGTAGAAGACTTGACTATCATTACAGGACGTGTAGAGGAAGGCAGAAGATGTTACAGTTGGAATGTGAGACATAAGCCCTTCCAAATTGGACAGGAGTGAATGTGAACATGAGGGAGAGATGAAATGTTTTATTTAAATAAACATGTTTGATATTATAATATACATGCTTAGGTACATCTAGAGCAGATACTACAAATATGCGCTTGTTTCTTCATTCTCCAGTTCCCACATTGAGCAGGGACTAGTAAGCATCCATTCATTGTTGACCGTCTGAGTGTAACGACCTGCTTGAAGCAGTGAGGACGACAAACTGGGAAAGAATAGACAGGGTCTCAAGCCGAGAACTGTCCAAAGGTTGTTACTTTCCAATACCTTTATGATTTCATCATTCACATCACCTAAACGCTACTAGCCTAAACAAGTTCATTTTAATTTCGATTTATTCAAATAAATCATGTTTGATGTTGTTACAACATAGTTGAGTAAATTGTGTACTTAGGTTCAAGTGTCTTTGTGCATATTAGTTTACTTCAGCTAACAAATATTTAAATCACTTGATGGGGGCTTTTGAGCAATGCCAGGAGAGGAGAACAGTCGGAGGGGTTAAATGAGCACCTGGATTATATCACAGTGGGTGTATCCAGATATCTATCTATTCCTTCTCCTTCTCCTGTGGATACAAGTACAGCAACTTTCATTTCATGGAACGAGCCACTCGCTGTTTTCTTGGCTATACAGGACTGTCTAGGATCAACATAGCTTAGATAATAGTCCAGTTTCTCACGTGGGTGGGCATTGTTAAGGATCAAACCCACACCCTCACTATATCAGTGTATTTACCCACGTGGGCGCGCGACACTTTTGCCCTGAACCACGAATGCTCTTTCTTTTGCCCTTAACCACGAATGCTCTTTATTTTGCCCTGAACCACGAACGCTCTTTCTTTCCCCCGGAACCAAGAATGCTCTTTCTTTTGCCCTTAACCACGAATGCTCTTTATTTTGTCCTGAACCACGAATGCTCTTTCTTTTGCCCGGAACCACAAATGCTCTTTCTTTTGCCCTTAACCACGAATGCTCTTTATTTTGCCCTGAACCACGAATGCTCTTTCTTTTGCCAGGAACCACGAATGCTCTTTCTTTTGCTCGGAACCACGAACGCTCTTTCTTTTGCCCTTAACCACGAATGCTCGTTCTTTTGCCCGAAACCACGAATGCTCTTTCTTTTGCCCTTAACCACGAATGCTCTTTCTTTTGCCCTTAACCACGAATGCTCTTTCTTTTGCCCTTAACCACGAATGCTCTTTCTTTTGCCCTTAACCACGAATGCTCTTTCTTGTGCCCTGAACCACGAACGCTCTTTCTTTCCCCCGGAACCAAGAATGCTCTTTCTTTTGCCCTTAACCACGAATGCTCGTTCTTTTGCCCGGAACCACGAATGCTCTTTCTTTTGCCCTTAACCACGAATGCTCTTTTTTTTGCCCTGAACCACGAATTCTCTTTTTTTTGCCCTGAACCACGAATGCTCTTTCTTTTGCTCGGAACCACGAATGCTCTTTCTTTTGCCCTGAACCACGAATGCTCTTTCTTTTGCCCTTAACCACGAATGCTCTTTCTTTTGCCCCTAATCAAGAATGCTCTTTCTTTTGCCCTGAACCACGAATGCTCTTTCTTTTGCCCGGAACCACGAATGCTCTTTTTTTTTTGCATGAACCACGTATGCTCTTTCTTTTGCCCGAAACCATGAATGCTCTTTCTTTTGCCCTGAACCACGAATGCTTTTTGTTTCATGGTATTACACCAATTTGATTTTGATTTTCTCCTCTTTATAACTGGAGCATTTGTGTTTTAAACAATAGGACATTATCATCAGCAAATATCAATCAATTGAAATCCCGAGTTCATAAGAGGAACTCATTGCTTAAATAAGGATTTCCTCTAAACAGCTCACTTGGCCTGTCCTAGAAACATTTCTAGCTTCACAATTTATCCAACAGTAGCACTTTTAATTCATTTTCAACATCACAAAGTAAAACAGTTGTTGTTGTGTACAGCGGCCTCTTGGATCGTCTTGTCAACAGCCAAATGTCATATAGGGAATTACAACAGAGTGGATATCATAACGAAATTATTCTAGCAAATCGTTGCTAGGAAACTAACTAAGACTGATTAGTCTCATTGAATATATCTCATGATTTGCCACTATCTTTGACACATTGAATACAACAATTTTCTCACCAAACTGAGTCCAGCATGGTTGGAGTAAGTCTTAAAGTCAAAGACCCTCTGAACTCTGTCGCTGAAGGTGATTGCATCAAACCGGACATCTTTATCGCCAATCTGAACATGTTCGGTCAGTCTGGTGGCAAACTGCTTGGCCAGGCCAAAATCCCGTTCACTCACGCTGCCGGAGGTGTCGATGACAAACAGGATATCAGCTCTCGCTGGACATTTGGGGACTGTCAAAGATATCAGAGAACGCCTTAGAACAGGACGGGTGCCAACATGAGCTGCAATCTCTACTTGTGGAACAAATATGACATGTAATGCTTTCATTTCTTTAGTTGTCCATCATTGTCGAGCGAGTTCTATGACGAGCTATAGTTTTCACTCATAGGACAAATGTTTCTAATTATTTGTATTTTTATCGTCACCGAGATGTGTCATAGAGGCACGAATTTGCTATTGTAGTTCCCATTTCCCATGATCGCCATGGTCTGAGATCAAATCTGTGTTCTTTTTCCATAACCAATCAATCAATGCACTCCGCTCAACTCCCCTTTACTAATCGGGATTGTTGGTTGTCAATAAATGTCTACTTTTTTATCTCCTTCCAAGCAGACGTAAAACACTCTATTCGATTCGATATGTAGAGAAAAAAGGTCAAACTTGCTTCTCGTTCAACTGTCTAATCGCCCTGTAATACTTAGGAGGGTTTTCTTTGCTGTTTTATTTGAATTGGTTTTCCCTGTGGGGCGCAATTACACCTGAATCTGGCAAGACAGATAAAGTTCGTACGTGCTCGATCTACCCACATCCTCGGTGACTTATCCCACATGGACCCGTTCATCCAATTTAACTGGCTCGTGTCAAGTGTATTTTGTCTTGCACTTGAATTTCTGTGTGATCTTACATCTGACTTTATGTGTGAGAAGCGGCAATATAATAAATACAACGTTAGAATTGAGATGCACGTACATACACTCACCCACACACCTATACACCCCAACCACATCACCCCACACACACGCAGACACACACACACACACAAGTAAACATAAGATGAGTTATTGGGAGACAACTCACCCTCTCCTTTCTCGTGTCCATGGTCTTCATAACCAGCTGTTGGAGTGAACACAAACATGTTTATTGGGGACATTGCGAATTGTTTAGTTTGTTGCATTGTCTTGTCTGCTGTACTGTATAGTTTTCTGAATTGTCTAGATTGGTGAATTGTCCAGTTTGGTGAACTGTAATATTTTCTTAAATGTCCAGTTTGTTGAACTGTCCAGTGTGGTCAATTGTCCAGTTTGGTCTATTGTCCAATATTTGTGAACCGTACTGCGTAACGTATAGTGGCCCTCGCATAATTTCCACGGTATAGTGTCCACCGTATAGTGTCCATCATATAGTGTCCAGCATATAGTGTCAAGCATATAGTGTCAGCGTATAGTGTCCATCATATAGTGTCAACCATATAGTGTCCATCATATAGTGTCCTTCAAATGGGGCCACAGCATAGTATCTACCTTATAATAGCCACCGCATATTGGCCAACCCATAGTGTCCACGATATACTGCCAACCCATAGTGGCCACGACATACTGCAAACCCATAGTGTCCACGACATACTGCCAACCCATAGTGACCACGACATACTGCCAACCCATAGTGACCACGACATACTGCCAACCCATAGTGACCACGACATACTGCCAACCCATAGTGACCACGACATACTGCCAACCCATAGTGACCACTACATACTGCCAACCCATAGTGACCACGACATACTGTCAACCCATAGTGACCACGACATACTGTCAACCCATAGTGACCACGACATACTGTCATCCCATAGTGACCACGACATACTGTCATCCCATAGTGACCACGACATACTGCCAACCCATAGTGACCACGACATACTGCCAACCCATAGTGACCACGACATACTGCCAACCCATAGTGACCACGACATACTGCCAACCCATAGTGACCACGACATACTGACAACCCATATTGACCACGACATACTGCCAACCCATAGTGACCACGACATACTGCCAACCCATAGTGACCACGACATACTGTCAACCCATAGTGACCACGACATACTGAAAACCTATAGTGACCACGACATACTGCCAACCCATAGTGACCACGACATACTTCCAACCCATAGTGACCACGACATACTGTCAACCCATAGTGACCACGACATACTGCTAACCCATAGTGACCACGACATACTGTCAACCCATAGTGACCACGACATACTGCCAACCCATAGTGACCACGACATACTGTCAACCCATAGTGACCACGACATACTCTCAACCCATAGTGACCACGACATACTGTCATCCGCATTGTGTCCACCATATAGTGTCCACCGTATAGTAGCCACTGTAGAGAAACTATTGCATTGTGTTTACACTTTAGTTTCTAACTTATAGTGGCCACAGCAAAGTGTCCAGCAGATAGCAGCCACCGTATTGTGTCCACCGTAAAGTGGCCACTGTTTAGTGTTTATCGTATAGTGGACACTGTAAAGCGTTTAACTATTAGCTGTCACAGCATAGTAGCCACCGTATTGTGTCCACCGTAAAGTGGCCACTGTTTAGTGTTTATCGTGTAGTCGACACTGTAAAGCGTCTAAATATTAGTGGTCACAGCATAGTAGCCACCGTATTGTGTCCACCGTAAAGTAGCTATCATATTGTAGCCGTCTTCACCGTACAATGGCCACCGTATAGTACCATAGCAGTATTGTGTTTACCGATTAGTTTCCGACGTATTGTGTCCAGCGTTTGGTAGCCAGTTTAAAGTAATCATCCTATAGTGTCCACTGTATAGTGACCACCTTATAGTAGCCACTGTATAGTGTCCACTGTATAAAAGCTACCGTATAGTGTCCACCGTATCAGCTACCGTATATTAGTCACCATATAGTACTGTATCTTAGTATCCTTTGGACATCGTATTGTGTCTAAAGAAAAGTGGCTACTTTATTGTGAATCAATGGAACCTTTTCAACGCCTTTAGTCGTATTAGGCTTACATAGCAAGACCTATATTTCATAGACTAATCGGCACACGTGGATGATTTGCTCGACATCAAGCCGACCACCTTTACTTCCCAGGCATATACCTGGTTCCAATTTAAGGTTGTGAAGACATGAAAGTCAAAGTCACTAGGGAAAAAAATCCGGCTTTATCAGGAACTGGACCCACGACCTTCTGATCCATAGGCTTGCATCTATCCACTCCCCCACCGTGCGGAGGCCATCATAAACGGGCAGGACCGGTGTGTAGCAAGGCTTTCATTACCATCAAAATGTTGTGTCTAGCAGTCTCTGCAAGAGAATACTTACACTTCCACCAGCCGAAGGGATCTACGATGAAGCCAAGTGTTGATCCTCCTATATTGAAGCTGGTGTCCACAAACTTGTTGATGCTTGTGACGCCCCAGTCGAACATGTTTCCCATGATCGTAGTGCCCAGGTCAATAATACCTTGAAAAATCCCTCCAATAGTATCTGGCGAAAAAACAAGTTCAAACGTTATTTGATACATTGAAAAACAAAATTAGACCTCACACGATGCGCGGACACACATAACTTTAGACTTCACTTGATACATGTACATGCACAAGCTTGTCTGGAGGGATACATGGATATGCACAAGCGGTGTTATTTGTGAACGTCTAAGTTTTGTGTTCAGTAAAATAAAAAAATGCTGAATGTTATGGTTATATTCATTTGCTTGATTCAGGATAGAACTTGTAGATTGTGCAGGTGGTTTGCCTAGGCGTTGCTATGTCGGTCGTCGGTAGTCAATTGTTGTAGTTGTGTAAAACAATTATTCACATATTCGTTGCCAGGGCTTTGCTCATATTTCATGGCATTTCACAGAAACACTTTTGTCGTTTCTCTGCTTTTCCTGTTTTTGCTGTTTAGCAGGGAAGTGCTACTTATTGTTCTATCCACAATTTTCTTGGTCCTCTTCTCCCTACTTTTATGTTTTTCGTTTCCCTTTTCCCGCTAGCACCATACACAACCTTAAGCGTGGCGTGATTCATGGAGATACACAACCTTATTGTTGTCGTGATTCATGGAGATACACAACCTTAAGCCTGGCGTGATTCATGGAGATACACAACCTTAAGTCTGGCGTGATTCATGGAGATACACAACCTCAAGTCTGGCGTGATTCATGGAGATACACAACCTCAATTCTGGCGTGATTCATGGAGATACACAACCTTAAGCGTGGCGTGATTCATGGAGACACACAACCTGATGGCTGTCGTGATAAATAGTGACACACAACCTTAAGCCTGGCGTGATTCATATAGATACACAACCTTAAGCCTAGCGTGAGACAGAGATACGCCACCTTGAGCCTGGCGTGATACATAGAGATACATAACATTACGCATGGATTGATGTGTGGACAGAACTTACAATCAGTGGAGAGGTGAGAAGACAAATTGTTTCTGTCTTCATGTGGTCAGTTTTGTCTCTGTGCAGATGCTCATTCCTCTTTGCATTTGAGGTCAAACCCCCCCCCCCCCCCCATACCCACAGAGAGAGCCACAGAAACACACAGACAACTATAACACGCAGTTACACATTTACAATCACACACACTCACTCTCTGGCCTACAGACACTCACAGAATAGACAATACTTAGATACACTCTCACCGTCACTCACTCACACACAAACTCATGCACACTGGCAGACGCCCACGCTCTTCACACACAAGCATAGACACTCACACACAAACTCATGCACTCTTGCAGACGCCCACTCTCTTCACACACAAGCATAGACACTCACACACAAGCATAAACACTCACACACAAGCATAGACACTCACACACACGCATAGACACACACACAAGCATAGACACTCACACACAAGCATAGACACTCACACACAAGCATAAACACTCACACACAAGCATAGACACTCACACACAAGCATAGACACTCACACACAAGCATAGACACTCACACACAAGCATAGACAATCACACACAAGCATAGACACACACACACATGGCGACTCCCCATAGACAATAGAGCTTTAAAAAGTTGGGGGGGGGGGAATTATTAAATTCTTATGTGAAACAAAAGAGAACCAGAACACAAACCGAATACTTTGATTATAAGGCAATACAGGAGTATAGACATTGTTACTGTTGTGATGTACAATCAACCGTAGAATAC